TGAACTTGGACTTAAAGCCTCTAAACTGTAAGAATAAACTCCTGTTCGTTAAAGCCATCCCATTTGTGGTGTTTCTTGTCAGAGCGGCACTAGGTAACCAGAACATTGGGTGTTTTGGTTACCTAGTGCCACTCTGACAGGAATACACCACAAATGGAATAGCTTGAACAAACAGTTTATTCTCTTATAATTTCGGAGGCTTTAAGTCTAAGTTCACATTGCCGGGCTCTAGGGGCTGGGTGAAAGCCTCTCAACCTTGGGCTTCAGCTCTGCTTCCTGCTCCCAGCCCACTGAAGCTGGAGGCTTTTCTTCACTCAGACAGCTGCTGGCTGCTGAGAATGACAAGCCCAAGGATGACAAGTAAAAAGGCAGAGTCCCAATATTACCAAACCACATGGCAGGCCATTAATTCAAGTCCATTAAAAGTCCCAAGATTGGCAGGGCATAGCAGACTGCTGAACAATGACTCGGCTATATGCAGGGTTCAAGTGTGTCATAAGCTCGAGACCATTTCCAAAGATGCTTCTTATATACAGGAAGCAGACCATATCCCTAAGGCAGCTACTCCCAGTAGATTCCGCAATGGAGTTGATTACCAGTCTCATCATGGGGAATACTATATCCAGCTGTCCAGCCACCCAACCAGGCCCCAGCCAAGTTGACACCCAACCTTAACTACCCCTTGTCAACTTGGCACCTGTACAGATCTTCAATGGGTGGTATCTGTACAGGTCTCCTTCACTGGGTAGTCCCAGTCCCCTAGTTCCTGAGTGGCTACCTCACCCCCTTGGCCTGGAGGGCCCTGTTCCTCTACCTCTTGGGCATGGCAGCCCCGCCCCCCTCACTCAAGGGCAGTGGCTTTAACTCCAAACCACTGGCCTACACGAACGAGCAGCCCCACACTCCAGAACCAAGTTGGTGAAGGTCTGGCTCTTTGAAACCTAGGGGGCCGTGGTGGTTCTACTCCCACAGGCCATGGTCCTACCCTTGAGGCTGAGGCAGCTCTGCTTCCCATTTCCTCGGTCTCTCCGCTTCTGCCAATTAATGCCCAAGGGCAATCCACTCCGTAGGAAATCTCCCTGCCCAAAGGACACTTAGCTTTAATGCTCCGTGGGCTGGCAAACCGGCTACTCCATTTCATGCTGGTCTCTTCTACTAATTAATGCCCGAAGGCAACCCACTACACCAGGAAGCCACCTACCCAATGGCATCCAGCTTCCTCCTCCATGGGCTGCTAAGGCTGTTGCTGTCTCATACCAGTGTCTGGGCTTTGCTACTGCCATCTTTCATGCTGGTCTCTCTGCCAGTGTCTCTCTGCCAGTCTCTTGGCTCTGCTGCTGCCATCTCTCATGCCGCATGCCAGGGTCTCTCTGTTGGTGTCTCGGGTCAAGAATACACTCCACTCCTGTTTTCACATTTTAGTTATCTGCTGGAGCAGCACGCCATACCTGGTACCTGTTTTGGTTACTTAGTGCCACTCTAACAGGAATATACCACAAATGGAATAGCTTGAACAGGGTTTTTTTTCTCTCACAATTTTGGAGGCTTTAAGTCCGAGTTCAAATTGCCAGGCTCTAGGGGCTGGGTGAAAGCCTCTCAACCTTGGGCTTCAGCTCTGCTTCCTGCTCCCAGCCCACTGAAGCTGGAGGCTTTTCTTCACTCAGACAGCTACTGGTTGCTGAGAATGACAAGCCCAAGGATGACAAGTAAAAAGGCAGAGTCCCGATATTACCAAACCACATGGCAGGCCATTAATTCAAGTCCACTAAAAAAGTCCCAGGATTGGCAGAGCATGGCAGGCTGCTGAACAACTCGGCTATATGCAGGGTTCAAGTGTGTCATAAGCTAGAGAACATTCCCAAAGCTGCTTCTTATATATGAGAAGCAGATCACATCCCTAAAGAGCTACTCAGCTGCTTGTGGTAGATTCCACAAAGGAGTTGATAACCAGTCTCATCATGGGGACCACCACCACCAGCTGCCCAAACATTCAACCAGGTCAAGTTGAAACACAACCTTAACTACCACACTGTGTTATGGGTTTCTTTTGTTTAGAATGAAGCTATGGGTTTTTAGGAGTATCACATATGTAAAGTGCTCTCCTGATACCATTTTACCAGGTGGTACGTATCTTTCCACTAGTGATATCCACCCTAATAATTTGTTAAGGTAGTCTTTGCCAAGTTTCTCCACTAAAGTGTTTTCTCTCTTTCCATATTCTGTTCTTTGAAAGCACTAAGCAGCCCACACTCATATGGAGGATGTTAAGTTCCACTTTTTGGAGTGGGGGGTATCTTTTACTTCTAATTGTTTTGTATGAAAGATTTGCACCTTCTCCCTCATTTATTCAGTCATTTCTGTCAGTATAGGCTCATTTATACTTTGGTTTGCAATCACACCCTTCATTTTTAAGATGAACAGTTGACTTGTATAAGTTCACAGGTTAAATCGGTGGGAGCTATGTCTGAATCTCAGATCTCCAGGGCTTTTCCAAAGTGAAAAGCATAGTCATGGTTAAGAGCAGAGGTTTGTTAACATTTGTTGTGTTGTTATGTGCCTTCAAGTCGGACCCTACTCATAGTGACTCCTCCTTGGGTTTCCGAGGCAGTTATCACTACGGTAGATTGCCCAATTTTCCTTCCGAGGAGTGGCTGGTGGGTTTGAACCGTCAACCTTCTGGTTAGCAGTCAAGTGCCTTAGGTACTACGCTACCAGACCTCCTGTTTGTAAATATAGACAATGGAGAATTATTTGGCAATATGAAGGAATGAGAGATACATGTCACAACTTGGGTGAACCCTCAAACATGCCAAGTTAAAGAAACTAGACTCAAAAGACTACATTTTGCATTTATAGGAAATGTCTAGAATAGGCAAATCTAGAGACAGACAGTAGTTAGTAGTTGCCTAACAGGGAAAGCAGAAGGGGAGTTGACTGCTAATAGGGATGGATTTTTTTGGGGGAGGAGTGATAAAACTGTTCTAAATTGATTGTGGTATTGGTTGCACAACTGTGAACATATTAAATTAAAAACCACTGAATCATTCACTTTGAATAAGTGCATTTTATGGTATGTGAATTAATCTCAATAAAGCTTTTATTTTTAAAAAAGTGGTCAGTGAAGAAAACCAAAGATTCATGGAAACAATTAATCCTAGCGACTGGTACACCAAGCAATCCTCAGCCCAAACGACTGTGAGACCAGAACTAGATGGTGCCCGGCTATCACTGTCAAGCACATGGAGCAGGATCTATGTAGGAGATCCTGGATAGAGAGGGAGAACAACGTGGAGCAAAACTCATAATCATTTGGAGAAAAAAAAAAGGGGGGGGATGACACCAGGTTTGCTGATCTGATAGAACCTGGTGGAACCACTGAGACTATGGCTCCTAGCTGCCCTTCAGGTCTGGAATTGAACCCACACCTGTGGCTTCCAGCCAAACAAAAGACAGGCATATGAGTAGAACATTTACCTGAAGTAGATACACTCCTTGGAGAGAACAATCATGGGAGAAAGAAGGGCTGTTTATGCACAGGGAGACAGCTCAGGGGGCAGGAGTGCATGCAGGGATGGACACAGGGAAGAGGTAACTATCAGGAGGAAGTAGGAGGGGAGCTGTTGCATTGGGGTAAATTGTGGTCATGTCATGAGACAGAGTGTATGTGAACTGCTGTATGGAAAGAGAATTTGTAAATTTTCACCCAAATCACACACACAAAAAAGTGGTCAGAAGTCGGAATGGATACTTTCTCTTGGACACTGTGGCATTTGGCAAGTTCAAGTACTTTCTGTGCTGGATTTCCTATGGGGATGATAGCTCTTTTCTCATCAGGCTTATGAAGATTCAATGACAGGATTAAAATTCTTAGCAGGGTCTGGCATATAACAAGCACTGCTGTACCACACTAAACCACTTTCACCTCAGGACCTACTTGCTCATCTCCTCCACCTGAACTTTTCTCCCACAAAGAACCTGGCTTATTTCCTTGACAGTTTCTTTTCAAATATGCTGAGTAGTTTTACCACAGTGAAACAGCATGTCAGTGCTTTCCCCTCTACAATTTATCACTACCTTCCTCTCAGCTCTTCAGCCTGGGATATTCAGCATCTTCTCTCCACTGAGCCTGGCTAATCTTGGCTAATGTTCACCCATTAACCACTGTGTTGCTTTCAACAGGTTTAACTCAATCCTGTCCTAGGGCCTTTCCTCTTCTGGAATGGAATGCTACTGTCCACAAGTATGTGGGGGGTCTTTCCTAAGACATTCACATGGACCTATGGTATCTCTTACAGAACACTAAGTACCATCTGGTACTCTTAGTCTCCGGAGGTGATGTGAGCTTGCAGAAAGCAAGAACTTTGTCTTTTTCATTGCCGATGAAAATAGGGCTTGGTGTTTATTTGTGGAACGACTGAATCTCTATGTACTTTATGTACTGATGTGGCACAATCTCCAAGATCCGCCAAGTGAAAAAAAAGCAAGATTCCTAAGCGTGTGCTATCAGTTCTGCACAGAAGGTGTGGGGGGGAACACCCACCCACACATGTTTATATATGGAGCATGTCTGGAAGGCTCCTCTTCTGCTCAGGCTACACTTGGCTCAACAGTTCTCACCCTGCTCTGGCTCTTTAAGTGGTCCATTTTTGGAACCAACACCACCGTTTACAAAACAAGGTCTAAGGCCTTGCTCAGCTTTACATCACTGAGGCAACTTAATGCCACACCAGGAGCACTGTGGACAAACCCAACCATAGCACACTATCTCACCTCTCCTTACTTCCTCAGTCCAAACCAGGCTCAATCACCCCTCTAAATTCCTCTATAGGTTAATTACATCTACTGAAGCGGTACACTCTATTAAATACCTGCTGTTTTATCACTGCACCTATGACTTCCAGCCAGCCCCAGGCCCTGGCTAAACCTAGACAGGAGGAAAGAATCAAATACCCCCGTGGGACGGGGGTGGCTCCTACATGAAGGCAACATTAGTCGAAATCGTGTACATGAAAGTAGTTTATTAACAGAAAACAATAATTTGAGGAGTCCTGTTCACAGACGGCGACCACGGCGACCGCCCTTTCTGCGGGTGCTGTCAGAGGGGATGGGGGTGACATCCTCTGTTGGGGGGAAGAAAAAACATCATTGCCTGGAACTGAATGGGAAGGTCTCCAGGCCTCCCCAGCCCAGTGTTCTAACTGATAGGCAACGTACCCTCTCTTCCCCAAATGAATCTCCATACGGAACAGGTGAATGTAGAACTGTCCACCACCTGCTTTCTGAAAATTCCTGCTATCATCCAACCTCACTTTCCAGAGGGGGTAATTGAGGTTCAGTGAGGGTAAACGACTTCAGACTGATGAGTCAGTACATGTTGCTACCAATTGCAGAGAAAAAGAAAGAAGGCGCCATGACCACCTTCCTAGGAGTTGTAAGGAACCAAGATCTAATAGACATGAGGGTAACTGGTACTACACAAACGTAGCACCTGCTCTGGTATTTAGTGGGCGAGGACCAAGGATGCACAATATCTTACAATGCAGCAAACAGTCCATACAAAATGCCAAAAGCTACCCCCTAAAGAAAAACAATGTGTCTTTCCTTCAGATGCTGCCTCAGGCAGCATGGGGCAGATTGAGAAATGAAACTCCTCATGCTGATGGAAAGGGTAACACCCACATCAAGGGGCATCCAGGGAGAAATTTTAAGTCATACAATGTCCCCTGTAACCCCCAATAACAACCTAACTGCCAACAGTCATCAGACCAGGCCCTGTACCCACTAGAAATATCATTTCTTGGGTTAAGGCTTCAAAGCAAAACAAAGTATCAGTCGGAGAAAGGTACTTACCAATCCGCCCAATCTTCATTCCTGAACGGGCAAGGGCTCTCAGGGCAGACTGGGCCCCTGGTCCAGGGGTCTTGGTCCTAGGAAACAAAACTTTAAGTGAATAAAAAGCCCTTGGCCATTTTGGGCTGTTTCAATTCTTAAAGCCTGTACTCAAGTCTCTGGCGATTCCCCTTTCTCACGTATCAAAATCTTCTAGCTCAGGGGTCTGCAAACTTTTAGTTAAGGGCCAAATAATATATATTTTAGGTATCGTGTACCACTTATGGTTTTTGTCACATACTCAAACAATGTTTTTAAAATGACAAAATTATTAGCCTACAGACCATACAAAAACAAATGGCAGGCCAGTCTTAAAACTATAGAGGCAAAAATCCTCAATAAAATACTAGAGAACAAAATCCAACAGCATTTTAAGAGTCACACACCATGACAATGTGGGATTTATTCCACAAATGCAGGGATGGTTCAACATTAGAAAATCAATCACTGTAAACACCACATGAAAAGAACAAAGGAAAGCCGTATGATCATCTCTATGGATGCAAAAATAAAGCAAGTGATAAAGTTCAACACTTTTTCTTGAAGAAAACTCTAAAGAAGATTGGAGTAGAAGGGGAATTCCTGAATATGATTTAGGGCATATAAAAAGCCAACAAGCAACGTTATACTTAATGGAAAAAGACTTAAGTTTTCCCCTTGAAATCAGGAACAAGAGAAGGGTGCTTACTCCCTCTTGCCACTTCTATTCAAATCATAGCCAGAGGGATAAGACAAGAAAATGAAAGGTATCCAGACTGGAAAAGAAGTAAAATGATTTCTATTTGTAGATAACAGAAAAATCCCAAAAAGTCCAAGAAAACATTCAGAGCTAACAGAAGAATTTAGCAAAATTGCAGGGTCTCTGTCAATAAACAATGATCAGTTGGGTTTCTATACACCAGCAATTGAGAAACAAGAAACAGAAGTTAGGAAATCAATTCCATTAACAATACTATCTAAAAGCATAAAATGAATACATGAATACAAGGACATGAAGGACTTATACAATGAAAATTATAAATCACTGCTGAAAAAGAGTAGACTTAAATACATAAATGGAAGAATGTCCCATATTTATGGATTTTAAGACAAATTATTAACGTGTCAATACTACCCAAAGCCATCTATAAATGTAACGCAATCCTGACCAAAATTCCAATAGCCTTCTTTACAGAAATTGAAACAGTTCACATAATACTCAACTTTATATGGAAAAGCAAGAGGCCCCAAACAGCTAAAACAATGCTGAACGAGAAGAACAAGTAAGAGGACTCAACATTTCCTCATTTTAAAACATATTATACATTTACAGTAGGAGCTCTGGTGGCGTACTGCCTAACACATTTGACTGCTAAACAGAAGACTGGCAGTTCAAACCCACCAGCCACTCTTTGGAGTGTTGTTGTGTTATGTGCTGTCAAGTCGGACCCAACTCATAGCGACCCCTCCTTGGGTTTCAAAGGCAGTATCACTACGAAAGTGTATCACTCAATCTTCCCTCCTAGGAGTGGCTGGTGGAGTGCCAGCCTTCTGGTTAGCAGTCAAATGCTTGAGGCCTTGAAAACCCAAGGAGGGGTCGTTATGAGCTGGATCCGACGTGATGGCAGTGAGAGTTGAGTGGTACAGTTACAGTAATCAAAACCACCTGGTACTGATGTAACAGACACACAGACCAACGGAATAGATTTAAGAGTAGAGAAATAAACCTACACATCTATGGCCAACTGATCTTTGACAAGAGTGCTAAATCCATTCAATAGGGAAAGAAGAGGCTCTTCAATAAAATGTGCTAGGAAAACTAGATTTCCATTTGCAGAAAAATCCAACAGGATCCTTCACAAAATAAATTAAAAATGGATTGAAGACCTAAACATACAAAGCAAAATGATAAAATTCTTAGAAGAACTAGCAGGGGCAACGTTGTTAGGATTATCTAATATAAAGTACAAACAGCAGAAGGCAAAACAAATACATGAGACCTCATAAAAATTATGGGAAATCAGAACCCTTGCTGCTGGGAATGTAAAATGGTACAGATGCTACAGGAAACAGTGGTGGCGCCTCAGAAAATTTAAAAAGAGAATTACCGTATGACCCAGCAACTCCACTCTTTAGGTATATACTCAAGAGACTTCAAAGCTGACACCCATATATCAATATTCATCACAGCACTATTCACAATAGCCAAAAGGTGGAAACAAAGTTGAACTGGCACAGTAGCTGCTGAGGCTGCTTGTGTACAACAAAACACACCTCTTGGGATCTGGTTCCTTGACTTAGAAGTTTAGGATTACAGTTTCACAGGACACCCCAGTTAATTGGCAAAGTAACATGTTTAGTGCTTCTGTCCTATCTCCTAGTTTGCTGTGTAGCGTCTGGGGTCCTAAAAACCTGCAAAGGGCCATCCAAGGCACAATTGGTCTTTATTCACCTGGAACACAGGAAAGAGTACGGAGGATAAGGCATGTGTCATGAACTGCCACCACAAGCAACTGCCTCCTCTGCCATGAGACCGAAATAACTAGATGGTGTGCAGCTAGTATTACTGAACAGTTCAGTCAAAGATTCCACAAAAGATTTGTGATCAAAAGGAGGTATACAGAACTGAATTTAAAATTTTCACAGACTAGACTTTCTGGAGCTATGGAGGGTGGACAAACCCCTGATAATTTTAAACCTTAAACCAAAAACACCCCCTGGAGGCTTCTTAAAACCGACTTTACCTTAACTAGTAAGAAATGTCTGCCCTGAGCATTACACTCTTTTAAGAACTACATGTATGAAATCAAATTGATAACAGCAACTTGAAAGATTAAATGGGAACGTTAAGGGGGCAGTAGGTTGATGTTAATGAGGAAATCAGAAAAGGAGAGTAAGAATAGTTACACGATACAAGATATAATCAATGCCACTAAATCATACATATACAAACTACTGAACTGGTACTCTACTGTGTCTATCCTCAACAATAAAAATAAAGAAAATTTAAAGAAAAAACAAACGGCAAGCCAGATTTAGCCCTCAGGCCAGTTTGCCCTGCTTTGCCTGCAACCTGTTTAAGGCATTGTCTCTTCCTATCACATGCTGCGATTCTAAAAATTCTTTTGTGCCATCTATTTCCACTTTCTCTATCTACCGTAGACCAAGATACCACTCTCCCCTGGACCACTTCAGAACTTCCTACTTGCTATGTTCCCCACCCAGTAGTCATCTTAAAAAGCAAACAAAAAATCTAATCAAGTCACCACTACTGAAAAATTTTCATGCTTCTCACCTCTCTTTGGGCTAAAGCCCAAATCCTTACAAGATCCTGTAGGACCCTGCCTCTTCCCATCTCTGACCATACCTTATGCCACTCTTTCCCTCAGAAGGACCAAGTTTACTCCTACCTCAAGACCTTTTCTTTGGAGGTGTCTAGCTAGGATATTCTTCCTCCTTCCTTCACTGAACTGACTCCTGGCTCTTCATTAAGGTCTAACTTTAAAATTACACTGTATCACTGATAGCATTCCTGACCAATGCTATACTTTTGCTTCCTGGTACTTGCCACAAATAGAAACCACATGTTCTGTGCTTTAAGTTGTTTAAAGTCTGACTCTCCCACCAGCTCAGGTACCACACAAAAAGTAGAGGCGATCATCTTTTTCCCCTCTTCCAGTTACTTGAGCACAGTAACTGGTATGCAGTGAATACTCAATAAACACACTAAGTTGCTTGGAGGGTAGGAGAAAATTATTAAATATGTAAATGTCTAAAATGTCTTGTGTAAGGTTGTAACAAAAAACAAAAAGTTAAATCTGGGTACTCTAGCGTCCAAGCCACCCAGCTCATACCGATTTCCTCCTGTGGCACGGAGTTTGATGTGTAGGGCAGTGATGCCCAGCTCCTTGCACCTCTGTGCCACATCCTGGGCAGCCAACATGGCGGCATACGGTGAAGATTCATCTCGGTCAGCTTTCACCTTCATCCCACCAGTCACACGGCAGATGGTTTCCCTGAGGACAAAAGCAGTTCTTTCTTTCTTGTTCAACACAGATCAACACTTATTATGTCCTAATGAGGAAAGAGAACTATAATGCAAGTAGGACAAGAGTGCCTACTATGCCTAAGGCATCTCTGACTGCTAACCAGAAGGTTGGTGGTTCAAACCCACCAGCCACTCTATAGAAGGAAGACTGGCCAATATATTTCCATAAAGATTTACTGCTTTGGAATCCCAAAGGGGGTTGCTACGAGTCAGAATTGACCCGATGGCAGTGCGGGTTTTTTTTTTTTTTTTTAAACTGCCTATTAACTAACTGTTCAACACTGGGACTATAAGTGAGCAAGACCACATGGGCTCTGCCCTCATGGGGTCCACAGTATAGTGAAGTTGAGAAAACTAACGCAGCTAAGCTCTATATTATCACTTCATATTAATTTTTCCATTTAATTGTCAAATTCCTTTATAAGGGAGGCACTAAAATATTTGTGATTTAGATGACCAAGCACAACGTTTATTTCTTAGTCTGCCTGGTTGCCAACAGCAAAAAGAGAAACACCTCCCTCACATAAGGAGCTCTGATGGCATAGTGCCTAAGGCACCTAACTGCTAACCAGAAGGTTGGCAGTTCAAACCTACCAGCCGCCCCTTGGAAGGATTGGGCAATCTCTTCTGTAGCGATACTGTCTCAGAAACTCAAGAAGGGGTCGCTGTGAGTCGGATCCGACTTGACGGCAGTGAGTTTGGTTTGGTTTTGGTTTCCCTCACATAAACCTCCTTATCTGGACAAAATAGTAATTCTTTCAGGAGAATACCCTAAACTTCCACTGAATCCTAGGGTCCTTTCTTCACCTAGGCCCTTGCCCGCTGAGCCTGTGACTCTCCACCCAGGTACTTACTTGCCAGAGAGATCAGTGACATGGACGAAAGTGTCATTGAAGGATGCAAAAATGTGGCAGACACCAAAGACATTCTCTCCTTCAGCCACCTGAGGTCCAAGGCTGATGACTTGCTCTTCCTTCTTTTCCTTCCCCTTGCGAGGTGCCATGTCTGAGTGGAAGGAAAACTCCAACGTCAACAACAAAAGGTTTTCAGAACTTCTTTTTCCTAGCTATTAAAGGAAACCCCAAGTTTTGCTCCTGGGTCTGTCTCCCTTCACCTAGGACTGTTAAATAATCACTCATATCTGCCTAACTCAAACCTCTTTTCTCCCAGCACTCAAAAGATTTCAATTTGCTGGCTAAAAAGGGGGGAGTATCCTTCTTTTCTCCAGCAAGCACTAAAAGCATAGCTCATAGCACCTACAGGATAGAAGCTTAGGGACCTAGTCCAAAAAACCCAGAACAAAACCCAAATTCACTGTCATTGACTTGATTCTCACTCATAGCGGCCCCCCTGCCTTGGGTTTCTAAGGCTATATCTTTACAGTAGACTGTCTCACCTTTCTTCCGTGGAGCAGCTGGTGGGTTCAAAACATGAACCTTTTGGTTAGCACCCAAATGCCTTAACCATTATATCACCAGAGTGCTTTAGGAATCTAGTAGCAGACCTCAACCCAAGTAGCTTCAAATTATTACCCAAAAGGTCTCCCAACCATAGAAAACATATGGCTTAGATCTCTGGAGACCACCGAATACAACCAACACCTCTGTAAACCTGGGCAAGTCAATTTTGGGTCTTATGTTTCCCCACATGCAAAACAGAGTTGGACAGACATGTTTGCCATGGCGCGCTCTACCAACTACTCTCCTCCCTAAGACACACCATTATTCTCATTTTACAGATGGGAAACTAAAAGCTGAGAAATGTTTTGATTTGTTCAGGTGACTCAAGAAGTCAGCTGCAGAGCAGAAAGATCAAAACCAAGGTAGGGACTAGGTCCCCACACCTCACAACACATCCAATGCTAAAAATGCTTCCGTGTTTTCTGGCCCCCACAGTATTTACATGGTTGTACACCTTCAAAAAGCACGTAGAATCCCAAGGCCAATATTATGTATCCATGTACTGAGAGAAGCTGTTCTGAAGACCCTTTATTTGACAAAATGCCCACTGCCTGTTGAATTCTACACCAACTATCAGCTTAAAATCCAAGCGTTCCTGATCAACATAACCCTCGAGACCCATTGCTTCCTGATTCTTGATCTTCACCTGATCCATACAAAAATCATTCCATCCTCTAGCAAGACATCTCCTGACAAGATTACTCCACAGTTTTTTGAATTGAAGCTCTTCAACTTTTACTAGCACCAAGTATACAGTATTAAAGCATGTCCTCCAGAAGGCCACCAGAAAAGACTCACCCCAGAAACAAAATGTACATACGAATAGCTCTAATCTGACACAGTGTCTATGAACAATCAGTGTCACAAGACTGAGGAAAGGGAGACATTAGTTGACTGGAGAGAGGAAAAGTAGTTGAGAACGTGGAAGGCTTTCTGACTCAACCCAGGATCAAGCATCAAAACAACTTCCTAAAATTTCAGAAAACAGAAGAGGTGAATAAAGTTGTCCAACTACCTGCAGATGGAAAAGATAAAAGACAGGAGGGACCCTACTTTGGCAAGAAGCAACTGGGATTTTAAAAGCCTGCAAGCAGCCATCTAGATGCAACGATGGGTCTCTCCCTGTCCAGCGCAAACAATGAAGAAAATAAAAGATTCATGGAAAGAATTAATCCTAGGAACTGGTACACCATGCGATCCGCAGCCTATATTGACTATGAGACCAGAAGAACTAGATGGTGCCCGGCTGCTAAAGTCGACCACTCAGAGGGGGATCTATATAGGAGACCCTGGATAGTGAAGGAGAACAATGTGGAACAAAACTCAAAAGCATTTGTTAAAAAAAAAAAAGGGGGGGGGAACCAGGTTTGCTGGTTTGATAGAGCCTGGTGGAACCACAGACTATAGCCCCTAGCTGCCCTGCAGGTCTAGAATTGAAGCCAAACCTGTGGCTTCCAGCCAAGCAAAAGACAGGCATAGGAGTTGAACATTTACCTGAGGAAAATACACTCCTTGGAGAGAACAATCATGAGAGAAAGAAGAGCTGTTTATGCACAGGGAGACAGCTCAGGGGGCAGGAGTGCATGCAGGGATGGACACAGGGAAGAGGTGACTGTCGGGAGGAAGTGAGAGGGAAGGTATTGCATTGTGGTGAACTGTGGTCAATGTAATGAGACAAAGTATATGTGAACTGCTGTATGGAAAGTGAATTTGCTCTGTAAATTTTCACCCAAATCACAATAAACAAACAAACAAACGAATGAATTAAAAAAAAAAAAAAAGACAGGAGGGCCTGTTGTCGTTGTTGTTATGTGCCACTGAGTTGGACCTGACTCATAACGACACCTCCTTGGGTTTCTGAGGCAGTATCACTACGGAAGTAGATTGCCCCATCTTCCTTCCGAGGAGTGGCTGTGGGTTTGAACCACCAGCCTTTTGGTTAGCAGTCAAGTGCCTCAGGCACTAAGCTACCAGAGCTCCTACCATGGGCTTAGGAAAGCCCTTACTTCACATGTTCCAGTATCTTGCCAGTGCCTTCTTGGCATTGTTTAGTCAGTGCCTGATATACAAAGCAGTCAAAGTACTAGATCTTACTAAATGTACAAAATTACTTGTCTATATTTTCAAATTAGACTAATGGGCACAATGTAGTGGGATAAGGGCTGTTAAGGAAGATGCCATGGAGATTTACAGGAGAGAAGGCCTACATTCTTTCTGGAGAAACCCAGGAAGACTTATGTAAATGTAGTCTGTGTCCTGATGTACCAACATGAGTTCCATCATGGTGGTTACTTAATAGATACTTATTTTCCCCCATCCCAATGTTGCTTGAGGTGAGGATGACAATAACGGTCACCTGAGGGGAGGATAGATAAACGCATAGAAGGAGCTCAGGAAACCCTGGTTTGCAGCCACTACCCCAATTTCTGACTGAGAGGCCTGCCCTCAGCGGGCAGGTAAACGTGGTCCACTCTGCAACAGCTAAAAGCATCCAGATTTAGGAAGCACCGAACACAGGGCAGAGGTTTTTCCTGCATTTCCTCCTTGAAATCCTTACAACCACCTGTGATTGGTACTCCTATTAGTCTCATCTTTCAGACTAGTAAACAAATTTGGGATTAAGCCCTGGCCTAAGGTCCCCCATATAAAATGGTGAAGCAGATGTGGGAGCCCAGATCTTCTAAGGTCTCCGCTCCTCCCCACATGTTGTGCGGCCGCCCAAATGTGGCCGAACGCAGGGACAGGGCAGGGCCTGCACTCACCCCAACTTCAAGCTGCATTCCTGAAGCAAGGCCACATCCCTTCCAAAGGGCGCGAGTTTAAGTCTGGGTGGACCGAGAACCCGGGTCTAGATCCGCCGGCTTCACCCATCCTACTCGGCACCCAGGTCATGACAAGACCCCAGCCCAGCGTTCCCGGCGCCCCCGACCCCCCCTGCCATAAGATGCTGCCCGATTGTCCCCACCAAGGCCTCATACCTGCGCGTCGTCTCCAGACTCCGCCACCGGAAAGAGAGGATGCAATAAGGCGGGGCGACGGGTCACAGCCACGCTCCCGGAAGTGCTACCTCTGAGGTCATAGGGCGCCTCGCTGCCTCCCGGAAGATGCTGCCTTTAACGTTTCCAAAGGGCTTAAGATTTCATCTTCGATAAAGACAGGTGATTTGCAGGATAGCGAAAGGAAGCAAAGGTGCGAGGAATGTCACTGCGAACAGGTAGACCTGTGCGACTGCATGAAGCGGCTAATCCTGCTGGGTGAGCTAGGGCTGTGTTCCAAGATGGCGGTAGCTACGGCTAGACGAACTTCCGCTGTCCTGACCCCGGGCCTTGGCATCCTGGAGCCTGCACCGTCCCTCGTGGTACGGAGGAAGTAACAACAAAGCAGCCGTAATCTCGTGCTTTCACTTATTAGATACTGGGCTCTGTGCTAGATGGTAGTCATAAAAATAAAAATATTCATTATATAGTAAGAAGCTCTGGTGGCGCAGTGGTGAAGCTCTCCGCTGCTAACTGAAAGGTCGGCAGTTCGAGCCCGCCACCGCTCAGCGGGAGAAAGATGTGGCATTGTGTGTCCATAAAGATTTGTTGTTATAAGGCGGCGTCCAGTCGGTTCCGACTCATAGCGATCCTGTGTACAACAGAACCAACGAAACGTTGCCCGGTTCTGCGCCATCCTCACAGTCTCGTTTCTGTGATTGAGCCCATCGTTGAAGCCATTGTGCCAATCCATTCTTTAAAAAAAAAAACAAAACCTCACTGCTGTCCAGTCGATCCGACTCATAGTGCCCCCTCTTGGGTTTCTGAGGCGGTATCACTACGGAACTAGATTGAACAGGGGTGGCTGGTTAGCGGTCAAGTCCCTTAGGCACTACGCCACCAGAGCTCCCCCAATCCATCTTGTTGAGGGTTTTCCCCTTTTTCTCTGAACCTCTGCTTTACGCAGCAGGATATCCTTCTCCAGGGAATGGTCCCTTCTGACAGCATGACCAAAGTAAGTGAGACGAAGTCTGGCAATTCACGCATCTAAGGAGCATTCGGCTGTACCTCTTCCCAGACAGTCCTGTTACTTCTTCTGTAAAGATTCAACCTTGTAAACCCTGTAGGGCAGTTCTACTCCGTCCTACAGGGTCGCTATGAGTTGGAGTTGACTGCATGGACAATGGGTTTGGTTTTAGTTTTTATTGTATACAAGCCTGAGCTAAGCGATTACGTGTTATTTGTTCGTTTACTCCTTACAGCATTATCAAATAGATACTGTTTAATTAATCTACTTTTAGATAAGCGATAGTAAGTAACTTGTCTGAGATCACACTGTTGTAGCAGATAGGGAATTCTGACTCCAAAGCCTCTACACTTCACTGTGCCCCTCTAATAACAACAATCTGGACCTTGAAGGGTTGGGAGAATGTGCAGATGGAGATGTAGAAAAAGGGAAGAAATGTTCCTAGCTGAGTTTAGCAAACAGTATATAGAAAAATGAGAGAGAGAGAGAGAGAGAAGCTCTGGTGGCGTTACACATCGCTGAATACATCACTGAATGACAAATACATTGCTGAATGATGGAATTTAGTTTAGGGACTTAAGCGTAATTTAGGGAAGAACTCTTTATATAGTTCCTCTTTCCCATTTACTAAAGTTATTAATTACAGAACATCCATAAAATATAAACATGCAAAAAAGGAGAATAAAAAGAAGCAAAAAAACATTCTTTATTATACCATACCACTTTATCAAATTGGAGAGCGTTGTTCCAATCTACCCACCACCAGCCACTCCTTGGAAGGAGGGTTGGGCAATCCACTTCCGTATGATACCACCTCGGAAACCCAAGAAAGTGTCACCATGAGTTGGATCAACTCTACGGCAGTGAGTTTGTTTTTTTGATTTTTTCTTTCCAGAGATGACTTTCTATATCTATATCCATGTTCTTATCTTTACCTATATAACATACAGTCTTAGATAAATGAAATTATGTTGTATATGCAACTTGGTAACTTTTTTTCCCTCTCAACATTGTGGCTGTCTCTCCATAGCCAGCAGTAGAGAACTACAACATCTTTTTTAAAATTTGGCTATTATTTTGAATATGAAGTACATTCACAGAAATGAAAATCTATAATAAGTGGTTACCAAAAACTGTGCAACGAATGTTCCTGTGTACCCTGTACCTAGCGACCCATTCCTCTTCCCTGCAGACAGCCAGTGATACCTTTATCACACCATTTTTGAAGGCTACATGATATTCCTTTGTAGAGATATACCATAATTTATTTAACCAGTTCTTGACTGATGGACATTTAGATTACTTCTGGAGTTTGCACATATAACCAAGACTGTAAAAACATTTGGTTTAGTCTCTCCTTAGGGTAAAACTGTCCTCCAGAAAGTTCATATCAATTTTTATTCTGCTACACTGAGCAATCAAAAATATCTTTTTGTTGTATTGCATTTCTTTAATGATTACTGAGATCAAGTAACTCTGTAGATTAACCATTTGCATCTCTTCTGTGAATTATCTGTTTATATTCTTTGAAAGAGAGGCCTTTTTTGTTTTCAGGTAGTGAGCTCCCCAGTACAGCATATATGTTAGCAGAGAGTGGACTGTTGTGAAGTAAGCTCTTGTTTTGATAAAGGTTGTATTAAAACAAAACAAAACAGTGGCCAAAGACAAACCCACGGGCCTCTGAACCTCAGTGACAGAAGGCTTCCTGGAGGGAGCAGAGCTTGATCTTAAAGATGAAGGCAGCTCACATAATCACTTCAGGACAAATTTTTCCACAGGGAAGTCGCATCTCCATTGTCAAAGTCACTGCCTTCAAATTCTGCTTTGATCATTTAATCGACATGTTTATTGCTTCTTCAAATAGTTTAGTTTTAATGGTTAAGGCAGTGATTTCTAGAGTCAGACTACTTGGATTCAAATTCCGGTTTTGCCACTTGTAGCAGTGGGTTCTTGAGTAAAATTTATAACCTCTTTGGACTTCATTCTTCTAATCTGTAAAAATGATCAATAACAGTATTTTTAAATGTGTGTGTGTGTGTATACACACACACACACACACACAGGAGCTCTGATAGCATAATGCCTAAAGCACTTGACTGTTAACCAGAAGGCTGGCAGTTCAAACCCACCAGCCACTTCTCGGAAGGAAGGTTGGGCAGTCTACTTCTGTAGTGATACCACCTCGGAAACCCAAGGAGGGGTTGCTATGAGTCGGGTCTGACTTGATGGCACTTAAAAACAACAACAACATATATATATTATATATGTAACATATATACATATAATATACATATATATATATGTATATTATATGTATATTCTACTCTGTTCCAGGCACTGGGATACAATAATAATGGAATTTAATTTGAAAGTAGAGTAGGAATTAGATGAAGATATAAAGTTCTGTGCAGGGAGAACAGCATATGCAAAGGTCCTGAGGTAGGAGTGTACTTGGAGAGTTCAAAACATTAAAAAAATAGCCAGTATGGTTGGGATGTTGTGAGTGAGGGAAGAATGATGGGAGATCAGGCTGGAGGCATGGCAGGAGCCACCTCCTACAGGGCCTTACACACTTTAGTGAGTTAGGAGGAATTTGGGACTGAAAGGAAAAAGATATGTCCACAAGAAAGGAGAACAGCTGGATGCAGGGATCGGTGCCCCCTAGCCAGGAGATCTTGCAGAGCCAAGGAAAACAAACACCAGAAGGGAAAGAGGAAAAGGCAGAGGCTCATATGTACCTTCATGATGTCCTTCTGCACCAAGGTGGGGAATCTTTGGGTGGGAAATCCAGAGCTCTGGAGAAAAGATGCAGCTGGGGGTCCTTGTAATCACATATTTTATCTTATTTGTGGCCAGCAGTGCTTAAACACAATTTTGTGGGTTATGTAAAGCAGGCAGGCTCTAAGTGACTAAAAATCTGTTTATTTGGGCTTTTTTTTTTTTTAAACAATTGAGTTTGGCACCAGTAGAATTTGTTTTGTTTTGTTTTGTTTTTGTTTTGACTAATGGGCTTCAGTTTGTTATGATGGAGTAAACACCCTGGAGCCAATACACGGAGGCCCCCTTTGGCTCATTAATATGAAACATCTCTTGCTTTGGCTATATTCCTCACCCTACTCACACCCCACGTACTAACAACACCGTGCTTATTATCACCTCTCATAGTTCATTTATTCATTCAAGGAATATTTAGTGAGCATTTAGTATGTATATAGGACTGTTCTAGGGGATACATCAGTGACCAAAACAGACAACAAGCCCTACCTTCTTGGAGTTTAGAACTGCAAAGTGAGGGATAGGCCAGACATAAAAACTAAGCAACTTCTCTATTATGTTAGAAGCTGGTCAGTGCTATGGAAAGAAGAATGAGTAGAGTAGAGTAAGGGATTTTGGGGTCAGAGTAAAGAGAGCAGATTGTAGGAGTCAGTGGTAGCCTTGTCGAGAGATTTAAGCACAGATGGAAAATTATTATAGGCAAAGGGAATAGCATGTGTAAAGGCCCAACTGTGGGCACACAACTGGTATATTTTAGGAAGAGCAAAGAGGTCATTGTGGCTGGAGTGGAGTAGTAAGATAGGAATAGGAGATGAGGACATGATGATGAGAGGTGATGGGTGGTGGAGGCAGATTAGGTAGGTTGTTTAGGTTGTTGTAATGACTTTAGCCTTTAATCTGAATGGAACTATTGGATAATTTTGAGCAGAGGAGTGACAGCATCTGATTTCTTTTTCAGCAGGATTACTGTGGATCTTTGTAGAGAGCAGACTCTCAGGGGTGGGAGCTTTGGGAGGCAAAAGTAGAAGCCGTGAATTGAGTAAGAAGCTTTGATAATAAGTCAGTTGAGAGATATTGGTATTAGACTACTGCAGTGTAGTAAATTACTTAGTATGGCTTTTCTACCCATAAGTCATTGTAAACTCAGTGGTGGAATGAGCAACTGAGGAGCTGATTGTAAAT